CGGCGTGCGCGCTGGGGCTGAGGTTGCGGTGCTCGGCGCGCTGCGACAGCGGACTCATGTTGCGTCGCAACCCCTCCCTGCTGTACGCGCCGGGAGATTCTCCCCTCCTAAATTTATACAAAACTTTAAACAAATATTCAGGATTAGCACAAAGAAATCATGAATTACAAATATCTCATTTACCTTTTATAAGGGCTCCGCGATCGGCCCGGGCTGCGATGTTCCGACGTGCGACGTCGCATCATTGGAGATCTGCGACATAAATCACACGTCACTCAACGTATAAAAGGCTGTAACAACGATACGATTACTCATTGATTTGCCAATTTTTCATCAAGAAAAATATACACGGTTAAAAACAAAACAGCTACCGGGCGTGGTTCTTTTTAGCAGAGGGTAAAGCAAAAATGATACAAATGCAATACAATGAGTTTGAATAGAAAATTGTTGACCTATAATTTTCTTTTAACTGTGTTAAAACTTTGTTCCAGATATCCCTAACGGCTTAATTTAACAGTCACCTTCTATCTCTGCGAAAGCTTGTGGGACTCCGTTGTCTGTAGGACGTGCTGCGCTTAGGCGAGGGCGGGCTGTCGAATCCCTCAGGGGAGTGTCTCCTCGGGAAGGGCGACCTTCTCTTCATATCTGGAGAACGCCTTCTCGAGTCGGGAGATCTCCTTCTGAAGTCTGGTGTCCGTCGTCTAGGGATAGGGGACCTCCTTCTCAGGTCGGGCGATCGTCTTCTGGGTATAGGAGACCTCCTTCTGGGGGCGAGCGGTCTGTTCCTGTGCGGCGAGCGGCTGTGGGAGTGGCCGCGTCCCTTGGAGGTGGGCGAGCGTCTGCCGGAGGACCTGGCGTCTTCTGGGGACTCCCTGACCTGGCTCAGCGCAGACTCCGTTAGCGGTACTCCCATCTTACGATACAACTCCGAGATATTAATCCGTAATTCCTCATCGTGTAACTCTTTCATACGCGCTGTCCAGAACGGTATCCATTCTGATTTGAAATCGTGCTTAGCTGGATCTTTACCCTCTGGAATATATTGTTACAAAGATTTTTTAGTTTCATTTAAAAAAAAAAATCTCATTGTACAGACGTACTTCATGTTTACTTCTTTTTAGCTGTTTCTGTCACTAGACAAATAAAATATTTATGTCAATAAAATCGACATACCGGATTGTATTTCCTTGTAGCGTTTGTTCCAGAACTTCTTCCACTCCTCAGGGTACAGCGGATGCTTCTCCGGGTTCTTTTCGTGGTAGGCGAGAGTCTCTTTAGCGGCTTCTGTCGCTAGACGCTTCTTCTCACGAAGTAGCACCATTTTGTAGTTTCTATTGTACGGCTTCGCTACCTGCTGAATAATGTTGCAAGTTATTTAAAATCTAAGTAACCTGTCTTGATTTAAATCTAAAAATCAAGTGAAGCTTGACTTTTAGAAAAAGTTTCTAAAGCTTAAGGAGTTTATAAAATCGGTAAATACGTGTTTAAATTAACAGTACAGTTTTTTTAAGCCTTTTATTAGCTATTGACTAAAGCTTTTTTTTATATCTTGTAATATTATGACTTACTTTATTATGATCTGGTGTATTTTTCATAACATTACGCGAGCTATACGGCGGCCCACGGTTGTTGTCTTGTGGTTTCTTATCTCTGAAATTAAATGTGATTTGAAACTGGTACTAGGTAATAATGAAGTAAAATGGTAATAGGTGACATGTCCTGGTTCTAAATCCATGTAAATTGTGAATTTCGAATTATTGTATAAATGAACACATAATTTATCCCACACTCTTATATTGTTGGAAAACATATGCATATGTGGATATGTGATCCAGCTTTGGCGGCATGGGGGGGAGTCACATGATCGTGGTCAAGTCAAGAGCTCTTGACCAACCAGCTCAGGGGGGGTCATGACCCCATGACCCTTGGATCCGCCGTTGGATATGTGTGAAGTCAACCCGCAGTGGGCCAGCGTTGACTATGGCCTAGTGACCCTTTAGGGTAGGCTCCGTCCGTGTAGATGTACAGTGAACAGGTGATGATGACTGTATTAATGTGAAGGATACATACTTATTGTACGGTTGTGCGTCTCGCTGCAGCTCTTCTTCGCTGACGTCGGACAGCGAGCCCGCGGAGGCGGCGCGCTCCTGAACACCATCCTGATATCAATATATTGTTCATGGACGTAGCCGATGATCTAGACTAGATCTAGATTATAGTTTTCAGTAGGAACCATCGGATCAATCGAATTTTTTCCCTTTGGGGCGATTATTGTACGGATTTAATATGCACAATGGATTTTTTTATAATTGTCGGTCAATCGTTGGCCCAAGGGGAAACACCCGGAAAGGGTAGCTAATAATAATAAGGTGCTTTTCAAGATAGTTCAATATCTTTTTTACAGTTATTATATTGTGGTAAACTTATAAACTTTCATTTTTTCTAAAAGATTTATGGCTTGTCCCAATAAATTGTAAATTGTCAACAATGTGTAAAATATGTGATAGAAATATCGGATATTGTTCCCTTATTTGACAGTGACGTCATTTCTAAGCTATCTGAGGCTCTATCAGCCAATGGTGGGCCAGGCTCGTAATGTTTGTTATTATTGTAATCTTATTTGTATTCAATGTACACTCACGTTATTTGAGGATGTCTGAGGTCGAGTAGGCGCGGCAACCACGGGAGGAGACGGATTTCTAAAATTTACGCAACCATTATAATATATTTCAAATTTTAAAAATAAAAACAGTTAAAATGATATACTCACCTTTCATCCATTTTTTCCTTAGCTGTAGAAAATGACAGTTTATTAATAGTTATATAAAACAAATCAATAAATGCGAAAGTTTAGATGTATGGATGGATGTTTGTTAGAGTTCGTAGCTTAAACGGCTGAACAGATCTGGATGAAATTCGGCATAGATGTAGAGCAGAGTATTTTTTTAATGCCAAGCGGGCGGAGTCGTGGGCAACAGCTAGTATTTACATAAAAAATACACTTATTTAAATAACATTACTCACTGGATTCTGTTAGAGAATTGATCAACTCCTCGTCCACGACCTCCTCAAAAGTATGTCCCAAGTCTTCAGAAAAGTGGTATCCTTTGAATATCCATTGGATTATTGCTTCCCTGTTCAAAGAAACACAGACTATTAATAATATTTCATACTTTAATTGAGTCACTCATCAAATATAGATTTTTAACTAATTTATTTTACAGACTTGCTTTTTCTCACAACTTCGTTTGCACGGAATTAAAAACAAACATAGTAAGCCTAAGTGTTCCATCCAACCTACACCCTTCCAGACTGTATGCTAAATTTCACGAAGATCCGCTTATCCGTTCTGGAGAAAAGAAACATCTATCTCGTCCACGTGAAATGTAATAATTTAGCTTGTTACTCAGCGAAAACATAGTTTTCTAAAAGTGAAGGATTTTTTGAAATTGTCGCAGTAGTTTTTGAGTTATTCCAATACATACAAAAATCTTCCTTCTATAAAATATGAGTACAGTTAATTTATATAGTGTATGTATAGTATTTAGATAGCGACTTGTCCCTGTCGAACTCGTCCTTGTCGATGTTGACCGGCTTGAGGCGGCCGTACTTGTCCTCGATGCGCTGCGCGAGGCGGTTCACCACGGTCATGACGCCGATGCGCGCGTTCAGCCGCCGCCGGTGCGGCGCCAGCAGCTTCGACGCTTTGTAGAAGTGACGCGCCTGAAAACGTATAACAATATCGTTATTACACGCTCAAACACACTTAAATAATAGGGACACCGGAAAGTAATGTTTTTTTGAATCTTCAAAGGAATAAATTTTTAAAAGTGCGCTGACATTGTCGTGTTACAGAACGTGTTTGGTTGGCAATTTTACCCCAAATTGCAGAAAAAAAAATTAATATTCGGAAGTAAACCAGGCACAATAACATTAAAAACACTGCACACCTCAGAAATACACTGCGTGCTGATAAAAGATAAGCAAAATCCGACATGCGCAGAAACGACTAATACATTTATAACTAAGAAGTTCTTAAGATATGTTGAGTTCAAGCTATTGGTTATTTCTTTGGGGTGTTATTTTATCTTC